GTGGCTCAACTCGAACGTCTGGAAAAAGGAGGACGGCGACGGCAAGCAGCTCGAAGTGTGGAAGACGCTCATCAACGGCCTCGTCGCGGGCTCGCTCGGCCCGTGCTTGAACTCGCCCATGGACGTCATCAAGACGCGGCTCATGGCACAGGAGACGGTCAAGGGCGTCGAGCCCAAGTACCGCGGCTTTGTCCATGCGTTCGGAGTCATTGCGCGCGAAGAAGGCAACGCGGCGCTCTGGAAGGGCCTCGTGCCACGCCTGACGCGCATGGCGCCAGGCCAAGCCATCACGTGGACCGTCGTCATGCGCGTCACGTCCTTTTTTGAAAACAACTAAGTCGACAATGACGGACCTTAATTATACCGCGCTTGTTGACTCTCTCTCCGTCGCTTGTCGGTTGTCCGTGATCCGATGCGGCCATCGTCATCGTAGCAACGGCGACGACTACAGTAGTTTCCAACAACATGACAAGCAGCAAGCCTGGTAGGAATTTACGGAGCTTGTCGTCATGGGCCTCACCCGCGGCCGCAAGCGCCCCCGGGCGCTACAGAAGAGCAAGATGCACCGCCGCCTGCGCAGCCACGGCCTGTCGAACGAATGAAGAAGACGGAGAATGCTAGTCTTTAGGTATGCGAACTCTTTGCAACAACGAAGATAACACGAAACACGTTCATGTATATTACTCTAATATATCATATAATCATATTTACACGGTGCAAACAATCTTGTCGTTGAAAAGACACTTCAGATGGTGTGGAATGCCATGAATTTTACTGCAGCACTGTAGTAGGCGATCCCGTCACGTGGCGCTACCACAGTACACTTTAGAGTCCCGTCGCTTCGGCACGTCAAGCGCGTTCACGGCCCGCGAAACGCCATCCCATTCATTATTGGAACATTTCCTTCTGCAATCCAAGCTGGCTAATGATGGTCTTGGGACGTGAATGATGGTCACCAGAACTGGAGCACACGTCTCCAGAACAATTCAATTAGCCATCTGAATGCACCAAGCAATCGACACACTGAGCACCGTGCTGCTCGACATCGTGCACCTGCTCTCGGAGCTCAAAGACGTCGTCGCCTTCGTGTCGGCGCTGCCAGACCTACCGCCGGCCCTTCACGCGTTGCTCTCGCTCAGCCGGTCGATGGACCTCACACGCCACTGGCCGTGCTTGTATCTGGAGAACTTTCCAGTACGGATCATTGACCTCGGCATCACTGCGCTGCCCGCCTTTCCGCACGTGTCTGTGGGGCCTGCCACCAATCTCCGATGGCTGGCGGCGCCACTGCCTCGATCGACACGAGTCCGGCTGCCCTTGAGGTCGCGCAACGATACGTCCCTGGCGTTTGCGCGTGTTTGGGGCGACCGCGTCCGACACGTCTCGGTCACGAAGGGTGCAGAGTTCTCAGCTCATGTGCACGAGCTACTTGACTTGTGCCACTACGTCGAGCACGCCATCGTCCGCTTGTCCGATCCAGCCAACGCAGCGCTCTGGATGTCGGCGCTCGCTCGACCAGCGTTTCCGTTGCGCTCGCTCAGCTTCGAAATTACGCGCTACAGCTCCGGTCCGGTAGACGATTGCATGCCGCTCGCGTGCGCACTCCTCGCATCGCCATCGCTTAGGACTCTCATCCTCAATGGCGCGGACGACGTTCACGCGGCTCTGGCTGCCTTGGACGGCGATCTACATAGCGTCAAGACCTTCCACTCGTCGAGCGAGGCCCCTGAGGCGAAGGTCCAGACACTATTGGACAAGCTGGACCCTGCACGCGTCGTCGAGCTACACGTCTCGCAGTGCGTCGACATCTCGCGTTTTCGCGCCCTTCGCTCCATCGACGTCATGCATGACAAGTTGGATCCCCAGCATCTCACTGCCGACAGCTGTCCCAACCTGCGCTACGCTTTCATTTCCAAAATTCCCGCCTCCGACATGCCTAGCGTCGTTGCATGGCTGAGCACGTCGCAGGTCCTCACCAACTTCCAGACGTGGACGAAGTTCGTGGACGACCGTGGTATCGAGTCGATCGCGGCCGCTTTGCCAGAATGGCTTGCCCGAGGTCTGGAGCAGCTCAGCTTGGATTTTGCTCCTCTGAACAAGCAGGGGCTCTTGCTCGTAACCCACGCAATGACGACAATGCGCAACAATCCGAAGCGACTGAAAGTGAAGTTGGTTATCACCAAACGAGCGCTGGACCTCGAAGAAACGCGCGCACTGTTCACCGCCGTCGGCTCGTCCCCGAACGTCACGTTGACCGTCAACGACGTCCTGAGCTACCCGCAAGCTGTGTTCCCAGAGCTGGCGGCGCAAGCCCGCATCGAAACCGATCGTTGGGGACGAAGGTTAGTGGTAGAGTCCAAAGCTATGTCGTAATGAATCATGGCGTTTATAGACTCTTCACTATGTCGCACGCAGATACATGGAGCTCGATGGATGATGATGGATGTACGAGCATGTCAATCAACACAAACGTTTCAAGGGCAATAGAGGAACACTTTTTTGCACACGTACTGTCCATGAGCAGTGAGGCTTCCGACGAACACCGAGCGTGCGAGCAAAGGGAGGTGATTCGGTGGCGAGCCCCTGCAATAAGCTCTACTGCGATGTTGCTCCGACGCAGACCCTCGCCAACAAGCCCCAGAACATGAATCGGGTCGGCGGCTCGCGATCAAGGTAGCTACTATCGCACGACGGCATGTCCGGCACTTGGCTCGTCGCGCTTTGGTGCCATCTGCTTGGCGCGTCGCTCAACGCTCTCCGAGACGACCCTAGGTGTGCGCGCAACCTGGTCCGTCGCACAGTCCCGAATCCCTACCATTAACGCTCCTCGCTTCACGCACCGCCTCGCGAGCGCATTCAGCAGTCCACCAGGTCGTGGCAAAGACTCTACTATTATAGTATGACGCAAGCCATGCCTGGGAAGACTGGCTGATTGAGCTGTATCACGCGTGCTCGCGTTCATTTCCAGGAAGCAAGAACGAGTGCCAGACGCTCTCGTCCGGTACTCAGAGGCTGGTCGGGATTTTTTTGTTCCGTTCACTTCAAACGCGCCCAGAAAATACTCGATCGCTATTGGCTTTTTTTATCCGGCATCCGGATATGCTCACGAGGGCGTTTGGATTGGGAGTGAGAGGGTAGTCAGGGTCGCGATTTCCTTCGAATTCGTTCGAGGTCACAATTCCAAAGTGACTGCAGGGCCATGGCTGGCAAGAAGAACAATAAGAAGGCGTCCGCTGCCCCGGTGAAGAAGGTATTGAGAGCGCGTGGGC